GCCGTGCCGTGCCGTGCCGTGCCGTGCCGTGCGACGCGTGTGTGCGGATGTGTGCGGTATAAATGTATGTAATACACACAAATATCACTATTCGTGTTTGTGATATAAGAGATATTTATTTGAGATATGTATGTACGTATATACGTGTGTGTGTATATGTGTATGCATATGTATATATGGAGGTGTGTACATATGTATATTTGTATATATATGTATGAATTCTATTCGTTCTTTTTTTCCTATCTGGATGTGTGTTTGGTGAGAGTGAGTTTTTCTTGTTGTTGTTTATTTTGTTTTCCTTTTTTTCTGTTTTCTGTTCAGTGCCCCTTCACAGTGGGGTGGTTCGTTCTGCCTACTCTTCTGCTGTCTTTGCGTCCTCTGAAAAGCAGCCTATGAGGCTATGAACCCCTCTCTTTAGAGAGTTTATCAACAGGTTTTGAGTTTAGAATTCAGTTTTGCGGAGTGCAGAGATAGATGGAACCTCTGCCTTCTCAGGAGGAGCTTTATGCTGCCTGTCGTTTCCTCAGCCCTTCCATTGCTGGCCTATAGATGCCTGTTCTGGCACTGCAGGCTTCTCTGCTGTGTGCTCCTGCTGTTGAAATCTGCTCACAGTTTGCATGGAGCTCTGAATGCAGGCGCATGAGGAGTGCGGTACCTCCCTTCCACCACGTGAAGTCTCTCCTGTACTGTGCAATATGCATCATATGACAGCCAAGTGTTTAATAACTAGGTAGCACGTTCTTTTTGCTTTAATCCGAAAGACGGTCGTTGCAGCAAAACCAATGGTAATATTAAAATACCAAAACTTATTTATCTCAGTACTTATGAAAACCTAGTTCTGAAAGAACTCTCCTAAAGTAATTTTGTACTTTCTTGTTCTTCTCTGTTGTTACCAGTCCTTGCTGCATTTTAGTGCATTTTGGGAGAAATTAGTGGTGTGCCATGAAATAAGTCACCTTTGTTTCTTTCTGCCCAAATTACAGAATGCCTGGCCTAAGCTGTAGGTTCTACCAGCACAAATTTCCAGAGGTGGAAGATGTAGTGATGGTCAACGTTCGGTCCATTGCGGAAATGGGAGCTTATGTCAGCCTGCTGGAATACAACAACATCGAAGGCATGATCCTCCTTAGCGAGCTCTCCAGGAGACGTATCCGGTCCATAAACAAACTCATCCGCATCGGAAGGAACGAATGCGTCGTGGTCATAAGGGTTGACAAAGAGAAAGGTATTGTGGGCTATTATGAGCAATACCAAGCTTGAAATCGTAAATAGAAATGCCTATGAGCTGGACAGCTAGGTGTTCTTTTGTTTTCACTTGAGGTTTTGGCTTAAGGTACCCAAAAAAACCAGAGCATAATCTTACCATCTGCTTGTGATCATTCTTCTGTGTATCCTTTGAGATTTAGGTTAATGAAGACCTCACACAAGTGTGAAGTGAGATATTTTTTTTTTCATGTCAGTGTAGCTTTCCTGAGTCTTAGGTTGTGAGAAGAGTGACTTGGAGAGTAGCTTGTGAGAAGAGTATTTGGAGCTCACAGTGCATCCTGTGTCCCAAGGCTTCGACCTTGACTATAAAATGGATGACAGTTATGTAATGATTGTATAATATGCATACTGCAAAAGGCTAAAAGTTGAGATTTGTAATAAGGCATTCAGTTTGTCTCTTCCTGTCTTCTGAGTATTTGAATCTTTGGTTTTAAAGTTTCTTCATATATCTTTCATGTATACAACATGTCCTTTTTTTCAGAAATCTGTACGGTGACATGTTTAAAATCTATATCCGTGTTCTTTTATGCTTTTTGTCTTGAAGCAACTTTTAGGTATGCTGGGATTTTTTTGTGATTTTTGAGAGTAAAGTTTGCATAATTCTGGTGCTTTCAAAATGTCTTTTTCTTCTGATAGGTTATATTGACTTATCAAAAAGAAGAGTTTCTCCAGAGGAAGCAATCAAATGTGAAGACAAATTCACAAAATCGAAGACTGTGAGTTACTTTGTGATCTTCAGGCCTTGTGATTTGCTCAGCTGATTTCTTGAACAACAGAAATGCACAGACATAAGTTAATATAAACATATCCGTTCTCATTACCATGTGTGCTCTAATATTCCTGTACCCATGCATGTATACAATTAGTTCATCTGTCCATGAATGCTCTGGTAAACTGCTGGGTTCGTGGATGGACAAGTTGTTGACTGAAAACTTGCAGTGTAAAGGGTAATATTTCAGTGATCAGAGATGCAAATACAGGTGTTGGCTTAAGATGCTGTGGACAAATATCATTGAAAAAAGCTTGCATTTGGTGTGCAGGGTTTGTGCTCCCGAGAGAAATATTTGCTATTGAATATTGCTTTTTTATAACTTTTTTTCTTTCTCTATCCTAAGATGCAGTATTTAACAGTTCGTTTATTTTTCTATTATTTTTATAATGTGCTGTGAAGATTCAAGTGCTACATTTGATGCTCTGTAAGCCTATAGAGCTTGGTATGTATTCTAAGTATACAGGAAGATTTGTATTTCAACATCCTACAACATCTGGAATCAAACACTTTATCCCTTTTTCATTTATTTTTGTTTATTTGGATCAACCTTTGGGTTTGGACTTTAATCCAAAGGACTGAACTGTGTGGAGCACAAGCCCATAGTAAGAGTTAGTAATTATGTGAGTTGGAATAAGACATTCTCATTCCTCCATATTTATTTATTTTTGATCTGTTTATGTTCAAGGTTTACAGCATTCTTCGCCATGTTGCTGAGGTCTTAGAATACACTAAGGACGAGCAGCTGGAGAGTCTGTTCCAGAGAACTGCCTGGGTATTCGATGACAAGTACAAAAGACCAGGATATGGTGCTTATGATGCATTCAAGCATGCAGTCTCGTAAGGACACTTTTTTACTCCTAGGAATTTACTTTGCTATTGCAGAGAAATACTTGCTGGACCAGATCCACCGTAATGTTAATTTCTTCAAAGTCAGTACATAGCTTGTGCTCATCAAGTAAGCTTAGTCAGCTTCTATTTCAGCCCTCCAGTTGCTTGTTGTAGGGTTCTCTGATTGTTTGAGTGGAATTCCTCAGAAAAGAAGAGGTACTGACCTTAGTTTCTCTGTCAGAATTTGCCTGTTCTTAGTCTCAAGCAGATTTTTGCATGCATATCTAGCTCTGTGCCTGAACATATTTCTACCCACAGCTAACTGCCAGTCTTCCACTCTTAGAAGCTGGCTTTTTTTCTTTTCTAAAGTCTATCAAAAGTTGGCTTATAACTTCTGAAAGCAACAATTCCAAACTTGAAGAGCAGAAGTGGGATTACTAGTCTAGAAATGGAATTATGAACAGAAAGACTTGTAAACTGTGACGGGAAGGATCATGCATTGAGATGAATTGCTGCTTAACTGTTTATGAGGTCCAGTATTTCAGTTTGCTTCCCGAATCATTAAGCCATTTGCTTTCCCTCTAAAGATTCTCTCATGAAAAGCTGAATTGGCAATCCAAAATTAGAAAGATTTGAAAAATCTATTTTTTGACTTTTCTAATACATAAACTCCTAAGAGATTAACTTCATTCTAACACTAGGTGGCAATGATAGGGTTTTGATACCAGTGCTCTAAAATCATTTCTGTACTGAGGAGAGAAATTGTATCATCACTGTGTTCTTGGTATTTACATTGAGTTCTCTTCTATAGAAGAAGACTGAAGAATTTGCTGATGGACAGCACTTATTTATTGCCATTGTGCCATTGTGTTAAGCTGCCAGGGGAGAGCAGAAGTATGTGCCTTCACAAGGTCCCTGAAGTAACTGCTGAAGACATAGCATGTCTACTGAAAACTAAGAATTTCACTTGCTGTTTCTTTTCTTACTGCTGAGGCTTAATGTTTTGGAGATTCAAACAGCAAGATCACGTGGTGAAACTTAAATACATTTACACTTTACTAAGTAAAATATCTAAAATTTAATAGTCAATATCTACTTGTTGAATGTGTCAGGAAAGTTTTAATTGGAGAACTTGACCGAGTAAGTGAAGAAACAGAATTTTCCTGTCCAGTTAAAAAAAAAAATAAATAAATCTGCCATATAAGATCATGTTTTTCAGTGTGTATATACACATCATATTATTGGGTTCTGTTTGGCTGTCCCCTAGGTATATTTTGGAGTGTTTTATTAGTAGCAAAGACCAGTCTCAAAGTGTCTCAGTTTTGGGGACATTTTGATTTTTGTTTACCTGCTGGTAGTACCATAGGTGGTCTGGTGTCCTATTGCAGAAAACTGTAAATCTCATCTTTGAAAAATGTAATCAGGACCTTTCTTCTCTCAAGCAACAGTTTGAATGTTCAGAAACTTTTGTTTGGGCAAGTCTGAATACCAGCTACTAGGCCAGCAGGGAAAACTTAGGTGAGGTGCTTTTTGGTCATGCTCTTTGTTTCAGGGGCATTTTTGAATAAAAAATATATACAGTACTTTTTTTTTTTTAGAACAAGAGCTGCTGCTTCATATGGTTAAGCATTAGAGGAATTTGCTTCTGTGATCTCTGGATTTGAAGCTGATAGCTTGTGAGCTGAAAAACTTAGGTCCTTTAGCCAGGATTGTAGCCAGCTGGTGCATGTCTCTCTGTGGTTCAGTTATTGTTAAAACCAGGTAAAGAATGGGCATAGGTTATTTTATAGAAAGACAAAATTCATGCCTTTGATTAAAATGCTAGAATAATTCAGAAGCCTCAGATTCATTGTGGACTTGTTTTCATGAAATATGGGCTTATCTTCACTTTGGGTGAAATACCAAACAATTAGTTATCTTTCTCACTCTACCTGTAATTTGTATAGGGCGCTGGACAGAGATTATATTTGTTTGCAAGATTTAAACTGTTCGTTCAAGGAACAGATTGCCTGAACAGTTTGCTTTGTTGATAAATGCTTCCATGGAAAAAAGTTTTGCAAATAGAGGTCTTTAATTTCTTCTATTGTTTAAATGGACCCTTAAGCAGTATCTCTGTCTTATTTGCCAGGATTATGCACATGAATATTAAAATGTTATCACATGTTGATGTTACTACTCCAATTTGTTCAACTCTGTAACATTACTTTGTTTGGTTCAGAGACCCTGCAATCCTGGATAGTCTAGATTTGACAGAGGAAGAGAGACGTGTGTTGATTGACAATATTAACAGACGTCTGACACCACAAGCCGTGAAAATTCGAGCTGGTGAGTTCTTTTTTGGACATTCATTTAACAGGTCTTGGCAGGAATGTCAAGTTACTGTGTCTTGTAAGCTATAAATTCATCTAAACCTTGTGGCTAGTAGTGTCTATATTAGAACAAGAGCGCTCTTTCAGAATTAAGACACCGTAATCAAGAAGCTGCTTGCCAGGTGCTTGTATGGCTCTTGTCTCAAACTTCAGGGCGTTCTCTTTGGCTTTCTTTCCTCCTCCCCCAATGGCATATTCTTTGGGACACAAAGTAGCTGTCATAATACATAATGTAGTCTTGATACACAAGCAATTTAAATATTTCATAGTCCAAATAGTCCAAATCCAAAATATTCTTTAACCTTTTTGCGTTGTTGAATGCAAAGCATTAAATTCTTTGGTTCTCTGACAGGATGACTGATCTGCATTGGCATGACTGGAAGTATGAAAACATCAGTGGGTGAAAATAGTTCTGAGTTTGCTCTGGGTGTATTCCCAGCTGGTTGATTGCAAAACATTCAGCAAGATATATTATCTCAAGCCCAGCACCTCACTGATACGTTCGTGTAGTTTGAGCTGTTTTGTCTCTTGCTAGTGCAGTGTAGGCAGAGAAAGCATGTGACTCTCTGCACTGCTTAGGAAGATGAACTTGGAAAGTGTGAGTGTGGTCTTGCAGCCACACAACTGAACACACTTAAAAGCACTCTGGCCATCAAACAGATCCTCAGTATAGGAAAGCCGTGTCTTTGAGTGGTATGAGAAACTGCCTCTTCTCTGCTAGTGCATTTTGATGAGCATTAGCTCTTACTCCTGTGGAGAGGAGGGAAGAAAAGAGAATCTATAACCACATGACAGGGAAATGAAGAAAAGAATACAGAAAGGTAATTAAAAGTGCTTCTCTCTATTATTGTAGTATTAGGCCCCCTATTGATTAAAATCAATTTCAAATGTGGAAGTAGAATTTGACAGGCATGCAGCCTGCCCTTGCTAAAATAAATATCATTTGTTTAGTTTTGAAAATAAAGTTACCTGAAGAACCTATTCTTTCACTTAGTATATCTTGCCTGTTTTATTCAAATTCTCCAAGCTGCTTTTCATTTTGTCTTTAGAGGAGTGAGAGGAAGTTTCTGTTGGCTAATAGCCTCATCACGAGGCTAAGGAGATTCTTTTCTGTGGATTTACCTATGATAGCGGAGAATTAGAAGGTTACTGTCACTTCAAGGCTAATCCTTATGTGTAAAAACCCTTGCACCATTGCTGCATAGTCAAATCTTCCTTTTGACTAATCAGGAAATAATAGATACAGCCAGCCGCATGAGTTTGTGCCTTCACTTTCAAAAACCTATAAAAATATAGATTAATTATTTGAAGTTTCTGGTAATAAAACTAATCCTCCATCTCTCCCCCGTGCAGAAAATCGCCCCTAAGGCGATGCCTCTGATATGAGTTCATAGAATTCCTTGGTTTTTGTGGTTGTGCACTTTCCAAAATTTAACTTTTCTGAATAATTCTTTCATTTTCTTTTCATTTTACTGCTTTTATATCTTCTCTTCATATAAAATACAACTTTATTCCTTTTGGATTTATTGGAGAATGTAGAAAGCAGAGTGCATAAGGGTATATATAATTTCATGTTCTGTATTTTTAAAGCATTGTGTAAGATATTATTCAACTAGAGAATTTAGTAAGACTTTGGAGACCTCAAGTTACTATTTTTGTAAACTGAAATACTTCTGCAGTTCTAGAAGGGACTGAAGCTGGTTTTGTAGGTGAATATTTGTTGCTAAAAAGCTTTATGAAAGTTTAACTAAAAAGCTTTAAAGTTTATGCAGGCTTTGATAGCTTTATACCTGTGAGTTTTGGGGGGTTTTTTGTCTGTCTTATTTGTCTGTCTGTCTGTCTGTCTTAGACATTGAGGTTGCCTGTTACGGCTATGAAGGCATAGATGCAGTGAAAGAAGCCTTGAGAGCAGGCTTGAACTGTTCCACGGAGAACATGCCCATTAAAGTAAGTGTCCATCTTACAGTAAAACCAAAAGCAAAGCTGTCTGCTTCTTCCCCTAGGTACTATTAACTTGCAGTTGCAACTGTTACAGTCAAAAGTTGTTCACACGTTTCCTGCTTCTTCTGTATAACGTATATGTAACACACGTCACTTCCACTGGGTAATGGCAGTTTTTACGATGACTCAGCTCAGGCTTCTCAAGTTAAGAAGTTGTATTTATTCTGGTTACTTATCCAGTTCTTTTAGAAAAACACATACTAGTTATCACAGTCATAACTATTGGCAAAATTATGTGATGGGCCACTTTACTGATCTGCAAAGTGTTTCCTCCACTTTATAGTATATATAAATTTGTTATATTCTGCCTATTTTTCTAAATAAATATACTGTGTAAAAATACTTTTTTAAACTTTCCAATGTGAGAAATCTGTTGGGCTGTCAAACTTTTTTTAGTTCATTTATGCTTCTGGAAAGATTTTTGTAATGGCAAAATGTTCTTCTGGATTGTAATTCAGAACAATGTTGTTCGCTTATGGGCTTTTTGGGTTTATGGGTTTTTTTGTTTTGCTGTTGTTACTGAGTCTTCTTTTATTTTCCTCTTTTATTCCTTCCCTACAATTTAATAGATTAATCTAATAGCTCCTCCTCGTTATGTGATGACTACTACGACGCTGGAGAGAACCGAAGGGCTGTCTGTTCTGAATCAAGCCATGGCTGTCATTAAAGAAAAAATTGAGGAGAAGAGAGGCGTCTTCAATGTGCAGATGGAAGTAAGAACACGTTGCATCCTAAAATGTGTCTCCCCTCTCTCTCCCTGCTTCTGCCAATAGTTTTAGAATAGAGCAAAATGAGTAGTGCTAAAAGGCATTTTAGCAAAAATAAACCTTAATTTCTCATTCAGTAAACAAATGGCCAAACTTTCTGATTTTTTCTGTTGCATGACTTTATTTAACTTCTTGCTCTTGATGTAGGATCAGAGCAACCAACTTTTTTTTTTCCTTCTTTCAACCTTGGGGAAAAAAAAAAGTAATGTTTATTGATGACTTTTTTTTGTGTGTGTGTTTTTTTTCCACAGCCAAAGGTGGTTACTGACACAGATGAGACTGAGCTTGCAAGGCAACTGGAAAGACTGGAAAGGGAAAATGCTGAAGTAGATGGGGATGACGATGCTGAGGAAATGGAAGCCAAAACTGAAGACTAAATGTTCCGGAATATTTAGAAGAGAGAGAGAGCATATGAAAAAATTAGACATCCCATTTCAAACGCCCTGGACCAAATGTTTCCAGTATTGAAAACTTGGAAAGCTTTCAGTACTTTTCAATACTTTTCCAATATTGAAAAGCAAATACATCAAGTATTTTACTGTTATAAAACAAGAACAATATATGAAATTCTCTCCTAAACAACATTTGCTCTCATGTAGGAACTTATGCAAATTGAGTCAAGGGAAGGTGCCTAGCTGCATTCAAGGCCAGAGAGGGGCCACAGACTCAACACTTCCATTTGTAATAATTCCAAATTTAATTCAACAGCTCAGTGCATCTGTGAGGTTTTTCTGAGATCACAAAAAAAGGGCAAGCTGAACAGTTCCATACACAATGTATTCAAACAAATATTCAATAAATTTCTGGGCTATATAACTTCAAGCTTTTTTCTTATTATATGGAGTAGTATGATTCTAAAACCAGACGGAGCATGATTAGTGCATGATTTGTCTTCAAAATGGAAAATACTTGGATGTATCATCACAAAGTATGCAAGCAAATCTTTTATTCTTTCTCAGGTTACTATCTTAGAAGTTATGAGCAATAGCCTTGTCATGATTTGAATTTGTTTTCTACCAGGTGCTCGCTACTGAGAATTGCACTGCTGTGAATTTCAGTTTTCCATTTATCAGCTCTTTTGAACAGTTATACTCCATATTTGCCCATTCCTCAAAATAATTAATTAAACACATATATGATATGTGAGAAAAGGGTGCAAAAATTGAAAAGCTTCTCCATGCCCTCTACACCAGCATCATGCAGCAAACAAGTATAGAAGAGGAGTGACTCCTGCCCTTAAGTAAAGGGTATAGTCGAGCTGTTCTGGTTGGGCTCTTCTCTCAGAGTTAGTGGGTTAACAGGTGACCATCATTTCTGTCAGCAACTTAGGCAGAAGGTACTAAGCATGTTCAGAAGCTACAGGAAGTCCTTGAGCTTGAGCCTCAGTCCACTGCTATGCACCGTTCTGTGTCAGTTCTGAGTGCCTGGAAAAAAGACTGAGGCAGCAAGCTGCTAGTGAAGCAGCTTAAGGTAAGTGCATTTCAGTCACTCAGCACGCTGGCAGATGAGCATCCTTCTGTTTTCTGGGCAAATTGTAACCAAGAAGAAGAAACCACTGGATATTCTTCATCTAGGAGGAGGAGGCAAGAAGGAAGGAGCTTCAACATGGCTTCTTCGAGGCGTCTTAGGCAGCTAAGTCCTGAGGTTAGTGCTGAATCTGTGAAATCTGTGCTGGGCCTTGGTTGCACTGCAGTGGCTGTCAGTTGCTTAGAACTCTTCAGAATTTTATTCTTTGAATATTCCTTATATCTCAAAAGATCAGTTTTTTGTTTTTGGACCAATGTTTACCCCAGGCTAAAACAAGTAGTGGAATGGGGAAGCAGTCCTGTGGCTATCTCTGTAGAGGCAGAGGTTACTGTAGGTCCAGTAACTACCTCTGCGGGACGTAGTGGATTCCTGGTCTTGAATAGCAACTCGGCCAGTCACTAACTTGCAGTTCCAAGGCCAACAGCTCCACTCATACTTGTGTAGTCAGCTAAAGCACTAACTGTGCAGGCACAGCTAGTGCAGGCTAACTGTGGACAGAACTTGGCTTGGAGTCTCCTACTTTGGAGATCTTCAAAACCCACCTGGATGGATCCTGTGCCACATGCCCTAGGTGTCCGGCGGGGGGTGAACTAGGTGATCTTTAGATGTTGCTTCCAACCTCAGCCAGTCTGTGATTAATCAATTAAATTTCATATCCCAGACTAATTTGTTAAGATCAGCAGCTTGAAAACAGCTTAACTTTTTAGAGCTCCCTAGATCCCAGCGTGTTTGGGAGTGTATCACTCTTCCTTGGAGACCCTCTCAAGGCCAGAACCTGCCTTCCCAGTACACGCACTAGCCCCGCAGCTCAGATTGCCCGATGTACCCTGTCAGATCTGCACGTGCTTCATCCCTGGGGGCAATAGCCATAGGGATAGTTTGTTAGCCTTGAATGACCTCTGCAGAATGAGAAAGGAGAAGGGATTTGAGTGTGTGTGCATGCATGCACATAGTATACCTGTTGAAAGCACTGAAGAAATAAAACGATTCCAGATCATAAATAGTCAATTGAGAAGCAATCCTTTTCCTGGGCTCTTTCTCTAACAAGCTTCATTTCTTAGGCAACTTTTGTAGAGCAAGGTCCACTTCTGCCTCGCTGCTCAGCAGCAGTTGGACACCGCAGCTCTTCCCTGCTCGCGGTAGCTCTGCTGAGGCACATCTGAGGTTGTGGGTGGTCTGCACCCCGGAGAACAGGAGCTCGCCCCGGTCCTCCACAGGGACGGGCTCTTGTGCAAGCCTGAGATCACTGTCTGGGCGAGAGCCCCTGCAAGCTTCTGCCTGTCCTCACTAGCACAAAGTTATGCTACCCACCTTGTTAGGAGCTGCCTGCAGTAGCAAGTTGAAGGGTGAAGTTAAATCTCAAATACCGTATGCTGTAGGACTGTGTTCTTGGAGTTTTTTATATAAAGAGCTGGGCAATGAGCACATTAGTCACATTTTGCCTACCTACACTGTAGTTTGCCTTGATGCAGCATTGCTAATCTTGTTGTCCTGCTCTTGTGAGTATTTCACATATTATTAGCTCTTCCCTAAAGTTTAACATTGTTGGGGCAGTGCTGGTATGTAGAGGGAAGCATTTAATTCTGAGGTACAGAGCATGTGGTGAGCTGAAATTGCTGTTTTCTTTTTCTACCGGCTACATCCCTTTTTCCTCAAGATGCTGCTTCTGAGTGCATACTTTTATTTATACAGCATTGAATGCCTTCTTCAGTGCCTTTCTCTTTCTCCCTTCACATTCAAAGTCTGAAAAGTAGCATAAAGATAAAGATTGTTTGTTCCTTTTCCTCAGTACCTGGAAGCGCGACCAGTAATTTGATCCCGTGTTCAAGGACTGAGAGGAGAGATGCTTGAGTCAACTTGTCTGAAGAACTCTGGACTCTCCGCATAGCAACAAGAGCTCTTGTTTACTCGTTATCCTCCACATTGTGTTTCTTACCAACCTGTGGCTTTAACCACAAAAATCACCTTACTTTTGATGCAAGTCAGGAAACGCTAACAGCACAGGCAAGGCTCTGAACACCAGCTCTGCCTGAAATGTTGTTGGCTTGACTGGCTTGTTTCATGGAGACTCAACAAAAGGGATTTACTACAGCTAAAATTTACAAAAATGAGTGACTGAAATGAGGCTGCTAATCTCAGGTACAGAAAAGGCACTTTGTGTTTCAGTGGGTCTCAATAGTTTCAAGCAATCAGTACAGGATGTTCTCTGATTAAACTTTTTTCCAAAAGCTTTAGCAGCTTTTAGAAACAAAAGTTGCTTTCATGTTGGATTCAGGTTCCTAGTTTAAGCAGGCATATTTGAATCTTGTGGCTTGTATCTTCAGGAGCCACTGAAAGTGGAGTGGGCTTTGAGACTTCGACGTTTTTTAGGTAAAATAATTTTCTGGCAAAGAAAAATATATTTTAAGTCTTGTGATTTCCCCTTCTAAGCGTTCTGCTTTACACTCACAGTGGTGTGTTCTGTAGTGCCCCATAGGGTCTGCTTAATACAGGAGAAATTTCTTGCCGTGTGGCTGAGCGGGCTGAAGGTTTGATGGATGCAGCTTTATACCTTCGTGCCCCCCGCTCCCACGCGAGTGTCTCATCGGATTTGTCATTGTGGGACTGCTTATTCCCTCGGCTTGCTCACCCAGCGGTGCTTTGTTACCATACTGAATTCTAATTCTTTTGAAATCCTCCCTAAACTTCCCTTGTTTTACTTCCCTGAGGGCAGGTGCTGTGTCAGAGCCAGTTCAATGTTTAACTAATGTCTCATAAGTGGGATGAAAGGGAGAGGAAAAAAAAAAAAAAAAAACTGGGAGAGTACGTCAGGGCTGAGGAGGAGGGTAGTGGGGAAAAATGAGCTTACTTAACGCAGGCGTGCGCACGGGGCCGGGCTGCAAGGGCTGGGACCCGTCTCTGCAGCACTGGGCTGCCCCGCGCGCTGGCCGCGATGCAGGAGGCCGGCGGGGTGCTCAAGGAGGGCTTCCTCGTCAAGAGGGTGAGTGCTCCCCGGGCCGGGAAGGTTGAACGTGGTGCCTGGCTTCGTTCCTGCGACCCTGCGCGCGGCGCCGGGAAGCCGTCGGGGAGAAGCCTCAGGGGAGGCGAGCGGTGCTGGGGGCCGAGGTCCAGAGTGGAACCCGGAACGCCAGGTATCCTGGTTTCGCTGCCCAAGGATTTGCCTGCAGAGAAGTGGATTAGCTATCACAGTGAGTCATTGGAAAGGCAGTATATGTGCACAGCAACCCGGGCTGCATGTCTCTAAAGAGCCCATAAAACATGTGGTAAGTGACCACGTGGCACCAGCGGCAGCAGCCATGGGAGGATGGCGAGAAGGAGGCTGTTCTGGAGGGCTCTTCTCTCACCCTGTATCTCCTGCAGGGCCCAGCAGAGCAGGGTTGCTCAGTTCACAGGAGGACACGGGGAACAGGGCACCCTCTGAAGGGATCAGAGCAATACTAACCATAGTAACTTATTTCTTCCATACTCCTCACACTCATCTGTGAGAAATTTTCAGTCAAAATATAGAGAAAACGACCAAAAGACAACAAGATTTCAGCCTTTCCCAGCACCTATCCCCATAGGACCAGGGCATAGCTGGGACTCAAGTGCAGCTTAACTGGTGCAATAAACTGCGTCTAGTGACAAGATGCTGTGTTTTAACACCAGTGACTAACGTGGTCTTTAACTGCACTCGAAAAATGTTCTTACAAGGGCAGCTCAGAGCTCCACGGCGCCTGGGGAAATGCCTTTCCCAGGATGTGGCAGCGCTTGAGGTGCTAGTGCAGAGGCAACCCTGGCCAGGAGCAATCCATGCAGGCGGCCCCACGTGGAGCCAAGCGAGCGGAGCAGCCCCAGGTAAATTGTGCAAGAGACAGGAGAAGGTAAAATGTAAGTTGTGACCTTCTGGCATAGAAGGAAACTCCAAGGGGGAAAGAAATGGGGCAACAATAAAGAGTATATTCAGAGGAAAAGCAGCCAATAGCACAGCAGGTGAGAAAGACAGTGAGGAAGATGAAGAGAGTAAGATCAAGCTAGATAAATTGTATTTAGTATAGGCTTGAAGACATTAGATTTAAAATGACCTGGGTTTAACTGAACTCGATGGCCCCAGCTTTTCTTGTAAACTGCTGGTTTTGCCCCTTGCTCACCGAGAACTAACGAGCTCTGCTTCCTGCCACAGCTGGGCCCCGTGCATTCCTTCCTTCCCGCCGCCCGCGCCCCGCTCCAGGCGTCAAAGAGGCCGT